CCGGCGCCCGGGCCGCGGCTCTTTCTTTCTCCCGCCTCCCGGCGCTGCCCGCGGGGAGGAGGCTGGCGCCGCCGCCCCCTTGGCGCCCTCCCCGAGCTCCCGGTGGCCCAGGGCTCGTCCCCTCCCGACAAAGCCCGGGCGTTCCTGGGGTCCTTAAACGCCGAGCGCGGCCGCCAGAGGTGGCCGGAGAGGGGGCTGCGGCGAAGCCGAGGCCCCGCGCACGGGGTGAACTCGCTCCGCCGGGGCGCGCAGGCAGGAGGGTCCGGGCGAGTGCACGGTAGCTGGGTCAGCTCCTCGCCGGGCGGCCCGTCCTCCTTTTGCTCCTGGGTCCAGGCCTCAGAGCTGCAGACTTTAAACCGTTCTTCCCAGGACCCGCGGTTGGGGCCCGGGAGGGGACGATCGAGGGGCGCCGCGGACCCCGCGGAGTGGAAGGTTTTGTCTGCGGATGCAACCAATTAAGCGTGCAGCCGGCTCTTGCAGAGCTGCGCGCAGCGCCCAGGGCGGGAGGGGTGGGGGTCGCTCGCTGAAATTTCCAAGCCTAGGCGGGGAGGGCCGGGTGGGACAGAGCTATTGAGAACGCGTACACTTCACTTCCTCGGTGTTTAAAACTTCTCTTTCGTTCCTTTCCCTTAAATCGCTTCCCTCCTGGCAAATAGATCAAATGCTCTAGAATCCCAAAGCTACACGAGAGCAAGGTGGGGAACTTGAACAGCGTTTGCTTGCCAGGGCAGCTTAGAAAAGCGGAGAGAGGGCTGTACCTTTTTGAATCCCTCAAAGGAAACAAGCCAACCTAGAGGCCCCTGAGTTTTCCCGCTCTGCGCAAGCGACACTTCTGAGCACGTTTGGACCCTGTTTTACACCTCCCAGGAAGTCTCTGCGCTACCTCCCTGTGTCCCACTGCACCTCCGCTGATTGCAGCCCCCACACACACTTAAAAAAAGCGCTAAAAGAAAACGCGGTGGGGTCTGGAGGTGATTGGAGGTCTTACCTTTCAGGGAAGGCAGAGTTCACAAAGAAAGAGAACTGTGTCCTCGATGTGTTTGCTCGGGACGTAGTCGCGGGCGCTAGTCTCCCACGAAAGCTGGGAAAGACCTTCCCCAGAGCCTCTCAGTAAGATGCGAATTTTCATTGAGAACTGTAATGCACTTTAATTAGTCTCGTTTAACCACCGAATCTGAATGAAATCTGAATGGATGGTTCACAAGGTAAATACTTAGGATCAGGACTATTAATCATCACATTTTCTTAACCACTTGGGTATTTACTGCTTGACGCAGGAGCCATTTAAAGTTCTGCGGAATTTAGCGCTTGTTCCAATTTCTCCCGCCCCAGGACTCCCAGTCCCCTGCACACTTCCTCCTGCCATTTCTCTCCAGTCTACCCCCTGCGTTTTCTCAAAAGAAAGTTTGGAAGCAAACATGTTTATTTTTATAAAAAAAGATACCTAAAGTTTGACTGGAGACCATGTATGTCTGCCTTTCGGAAAGGAAGTGGAGAATTGAAGCAATTATCTAGATAATTCAAGCAAAACCTCCCACCTCAGATTTACCATAATTATTTGGAAATTTTAGAGGGAATAGAGTTAATTTGAGCTGAAGAACTTGGATAATTGCTCCAATGTTTAACTCAATGTGTCGATTGCATTCTAATCGACCTGGAATGCAGGTATGCGTAGCAGATTAAAAGCCACTTTTAAAACGGGAAATTGTTAGAATAGGTACAATACTGAAATCTCTATGATGCTAGCTTCGTATTTCTGTTGTTTGAAATGCTAGTATAATCGACAGTGATAGTCACCTAAAATGCTTATTATTTCGGTACATTGTAAAATGCACATCCTTATAAATTTTATGCCTTAAAATGCATGATTTTCTTCCTAAAACCTGCAACCTTTTCAGGCTCTGCTGCCCTTTTAGATATGAAATAGAACCTAGTCTTCCTATGCAAAATAGTTTCCACCTTGAAACCTTGGATTAAAAGTGTAGTTATTTCCTCTCTCCGAAAACTTTGTACCATCCTCGTTTATCCTTGAACTGAATGTGTTCCAGCAGCTCTGCTGAGCAGAAAGTACAGCTATGGAGTCACGGTCAATTTCTTTCACACGGTCTCGCCACAACAGCATCTTTCTCCCCCCACAATTAGGAGCCAACCTGTGAGCCCTCTCCTAAGAGACCCCGGGGAAGACCCAAAGGCAGCAAAAACAAGAGTCCCTCTAAAGCAGCTCAAAAGGTGAGAATTCTCAAGTCCTGTCCTCACTGCATCAATGCCTGTAAGAACTGCCCTGTATTTTCTCCCATTCTACATGTACACTGAAGGGTTTGTCCTAGGTGGGTAACTCAAGACACATTTTCTACATTGGACATTAAGTAGGAGTTAATTTGTTTTGTAAGTGAACACTGAACATGAAAGGTTCAGGAAGATGCTTACAGTGTTATATTTAAGCAAACAAACAAA